ACAAATGCTTATGTAAACTAGACAGTCAATACAAAAAAATATGCAGCCAGTAAAATAACAAATACGGGTTTTTCTAAAGCAATAAAGTAAATATAGCTATTGAAGACTAACAAAACTATTAAAAGTTAGTAAGGGGCTAATACGGTTAATCTTATTTACTGAAGTAAACCCTCCCCCCACATTGATAGATTGATGCTCTAACACACTGGACGCCTCGGAATTTGCCTATATTTCAGCACAGGATCTTTAAAGAGGTAGTTAAGTTAAAACAAGATGATTAGGTAGTGCTAGTCATATCAATCTGATTGGTGCTCTTATAAGAGGCAGTTAGGACACTGACACGGAGAGAAGACTATATAAACAAAGCGGAAGAAAGCCTTCTACAAGCCAAAAAGGGAAGCTTCAAAAGAAATGAACACTGCTGGGCCTCCCTGGTGGCGCAAGGGGTTAAGATGCAACCTATGAAGCTGTCCGCAGCCTCTGCAGCACGAGTTCAATCCCCTTCGGGGAGATACCCACATGGCACGGCAGACCTTTCCTGACTCGCCCACTGCTGCCCTCAGCAGTGTATTTCAGTCAATCTGCCGGTTCTGTTCCCCACTGTGTCTCTGGTGAATCCTTTCACTGCCCCCCCACACACACACACTTCTGGCCTGTACCCCAGTTCTTGTATGCATAAATAAATCTTTAAAAAAAAAAATGAACACTGCCAACAACTGCCTCTGCAGCATAAGTTCAATCGCTGGCCAGGGAGCTACCCACATGGCGAGCAAACCTCTTCTGTCTCGCCCGCTGCAACCCTCAGCAGTATATTTCGGTTGGTCTGCCTGTTCTGTTCCCCACTCTGTCTCTGGTGGGTCCTCTCATCGCCCCCCCACCTCGTGTCTCTGGCCTGCACCCTAGCTCTTGTATGCATAAATAAATCTTTAAAAAATAAATAAAAATAAAATAAACTGTTGTGGTACTCCATACGGCAGCCTGAGGAAACACATACAGTTAATGTGGCATGATTATAGGTAAACACTTTTTTCCTTCCAATTTCTTTTTAAAATATTTTAGAGTTGATTTTAATAACAATGATTCCAGCAACATGAATACCCTTTGCTGATGCCCATTTTCTCTCCTCCCACTTTATGGATGTTTGTTTTTAACATGATCTCACAAAGGAAAGGGAGGATGGGGAAGTTTTAAGCTTCACGATACTGGAAAAATTGCCAACATCATTATTTTTCCTCCATGGCAAACTATTCAAACTACTCTAACAGGGAGTCTGGCTCTCCAGAAAATCCATGGCCTCTGGCCACACGTTTCTCCAATTACAGGTGAGTTAACAAGCTCATCTCCCCACCAGGGAGGGTTCAGTCTGTCCCTAATGCTACAGTGTCATTTAAACATCAGATTGATAGTTAGCTAAGACACATGAAGAGATTCTGGCATTGTAAACACAGAAACGAGAGAGGACATTTTAGGACATGGGAGAAGACTCTGAAAAGCCTCCTGAGGGTCAAAAGAGGAATTGAAGGGCAAAGAATACTGCCCACTTTGCAGCTTGTCCCAGAACACTCAATGTTCCAGAGTTAAGGGTCCATTAGTATGGCAAAGGTAAGATGATAAAAGGCATAATTTCCTGGATACAGAGAAACTATAACCAGGAAGAACCAGGAGAAAGCTTGTCAGAGAAATGCAGCAACATTCTGAAGACACGCATGAACCAGAAAAATAGAGCAAAATGAGCAGACAAATAGAAATCAGAGAGAAAGAGTATGGAAATTAACTGCACATGGAGAGTCCAGCGTGGACAAGTCTCTCTTTTTTCCTCTCCATTTTTCCTCCTCTCATCTTTCTCAACTTTCTCCCTGGTCTCACTGGGATGTAATGTAGAGGGCCTCATAAAGAATGTCCTCAGAAGGAAGTGAGTCTCAGGCACAGGAGGCCAGTTTGGGGAGCAGCCTAGCAGGAAAAGGTCAATGCTTGAATATGGAACAGAAAATAGACACGCAGAGGTCTTGGATTTAGCTATCTGATCATGGCAGGAGTATAGTCACCAGATCTGGAATAAAAGAGTAGATGGGGGACTTGCAGCAAGTCTGCTGGTCACCTTAGCAGCCAAATTAGCACTGCTTCTTATTGACCTGCCTTAGCACATACTAATTAACAGTGGTATTCAACAAATGTTTTCCTTGTGAAAGTGAATTAGGAAAAAAATTCACAGAGTAGCAACATGGATGGTTTCATAGCCTGGAATTAGAGTGAGTAAAGTAAACAAATGTGGCATGTAGAGGGTCAAAGATAGGGGAAGTTATGTCATTAAGTCATTTCAAGTGCCACTAACCACACTTTGGGACTGCCAAAGCTACCAATGTCTAGAACTGAGATATCAGGCCTAGTTCAGAAAACTTAGCCTTCCTCAGGTCAACCCTTTTAGGACCAAACACCACTCAGTCTCCTGCCTTCTCTTTGGGGGAAAAAAAAAAAAACAAACATAAATGAGGGCCCTCTCTGGTAGCCTAGAGGTTATAAGGGTTAAGTCTCAGTGCCATCACCACGATGGCCTGAGTTCAATCCCCCAGTCAGGGAGCTAACCCACATGGCGCAGTAGACCTCTCCTGTCTCACCTGCTGCTCCCCTCAGCAGTGTATTTCAGTAGATCTGCCTGTTCTGTTCCCCTTTCTGTCTCTGGTGAATCCTCTCACCCTCCCACACATCTGGCCTGTACCCTGGTTCTTGAATGCATGAATAAATAAAAATCTTAAAAAAAAAATTCCAGATGAGAATAAGAGGAATTCATATGTATTTGATTGGATCAGCCACTACAGAAGTTTCCTCTAAGAAGTTGTCTCATGGTCCCCAAGACCACTCACATGTTACCACTTGTACTGGTGGCTAAAGTTTACTACAGTGGAAGGTTATCAGCAAGGGAAAAAGATACAGAGGATCAGAGTGGGCAACTATCCTGTACAACATGACACTAACATAAGAAATGACACAGGATTTAAATTTAGGTGGTCCTATCTATATAATTCATATTCTTTCTCTTCTTTTGTATTCCTTCTTTAGCTAGGTTGGCATCAGTCTCCCAGGATCTGCTGGCCCTGGAGGTGAGTGATTAACATCAAGTTTGAGAACCTAAAGCCAAGGACTAGATCACTCTCCCAAAGTGCCTAAAACATCCTTATAGCCTCATCCCTCAACAGAGCTGCAAAACAACTCCCAGCTATAGCAGGCAGGTCACCACTGCTCTTCCGCAGGCAAAAAAAAATGTTCTTTTTCCACCTAGCAGAAGCTCTTTAGAAAAACAATCCCTTAGCTGAATACTAAGACACTGCAATGAGTCTCATCACCCCCTGGTGGGGAAAGCTGACATTTGCTGCTCACCTAATCTGTGCTTAGCTCTGTGGGAGACACTTTATGCTTGAACTCTTTTTTTTTTTTTTTTTTTTTTTTTTAATTTTTTTTTTTTTTTATAGAGGCATGTTTTATTTTTATTTGTTTGTTTGTTTTGTTTTTGTTTATACATGCACTGGGTACAGTCAGAAGCGCAGGAGGGTGAGAGAATTCACCAGAGCCAGAGCAGGGAGCAGAGCAGGCAGAAGGACCGAAGTACACTGCTGAGGGGAGCAGCGGGCGGCAGGAGAGGTCTGCGCGCCATGTGGGACCCTCCTCCGGTGGCCGGGGAGCAGCCGGGGATCGAACCGGCGCCGCAAAGGCCGCGGGCAGCTTCGCAACCCAGCGCTCAACCGCTGCGCCACTGGGGAGGCCCTATGCTTGAACTCTTTTAACCCTCAAGAACCACGTCATACCACAGATAAGGAAACAAAGGCTCTGACATTTGAAGTAACTTGCCCAAGAGCACTCAGAGTAAATGACAATACAAGGACCACATTTAGGTCTGACTCTAAAAATCTGTTTTCTTTCCACCATACCAAGCACACCTTTGAGTTGCCTTTTACTCTTCTCCCAAGAATTCCCTCTGGCACCTTCATTTACTCCGAAGCAATCCTGAGGGCAATTCTCTGCCCACTGACAGTTCATTACCCGTTCCCTGCCACTGTCCCTTCTTCAAATACACAATCTTTTATCCAGTCTAATGCTCCCCCCACCCAGTCTCACAGAAAAACAACGCGCAGTAGATTTGCATTTCTTCCAGAAAGCACTTTCAGATACAGTTTCCAGACAAGCCCCCGAAGCGAGCAAAGCAAGTAAAACGAACCCCATTTTAACAGAAAGACAACTCCCCAAGGTCACGGAATAGAACGCTAGAGAGGCGGGGAGCAGGGGCCCAGTTTTGACCCCAGCTCGGTCCGCTCCAGCAAAGCCACAAGGGCCCGTGGGCGGGCGCTCGCGCCGGTGGGTCACGTCCCTCCGTCAGCAGCCGACGCCCCCGCGGCGTCCCCGACCACTCCCACCCGCGACGCCCTCCTCACAGCCCCTCCGCCCAGCCGCCCCCAGCCGCCCCCAGCGCGGCGGGTGAGGAGCCCCCAGCCCGCCACAGGAAGCTCGGGGTCCCGCGGGCCGTCGCCCCCGCCTCCCGCGCCGGCTGCCCCAGGCCCGTCTTGCTGTCAAGGTGCCCCCGGGCCGGCGAAGGCTACCTTCTCCAAGGATGCCGGCCTCTGCACAGCCAGGGAGCGGGCCAGCGACAGGACTGTGTTGAAATAGAACCCCCGGGAGACGCTGGACCCAGCGCCGGAGCCGCCGCCGCCGCCGCCGCCGCCTCCGCCGCCGCCGCCTCCCTGGGCCGCCGCCGCCATCATCGGGCGCGCCGCGGCGCAGCCGCCGGCTTCCCACAGTCGACCCGCGAGCGCCGGCGCAGGCGCGGACGCCTCTGACAGGCCGCGCCACGTGACCTCACTGCTGCCGGCACTGTGCGGGGCGTGGCCTCGGCGGCGTCCCGCGACTGGAGGGAGAGGAGAAGCCCCGGGCGCGCCCGCAGCGCCGCCCCCTCCTCCCGGCGCGCGGGCTGTTCCGGGGGCGGGGCTTCCGCGAGGCCGCGGGCGGAAGGGCTCGCGCGGAGACGGCAGCGTCGCCGACGCGGAGCTGCTGGCCGGTGGGCGTCCGCGCTGTGGAGTTGCGGGGCGGGGGGAGTTTCCCGAAGCCCCCGGGAGGACGACGGGGACCCTTGCGCGCCGGGCTGGACGGCTCCTTGGTTTGGCCGCGCACCTTTTCCTGCCCACACCTACGCGAGCGCTAGCACCATGGCGGCCTACCCTAGGAGCTGTAACCCGTTCGACGACGACGCGGAGGGGGAGGGCGCCCGGCCTGACCCTTGGAAGGACGCCCGCGACCTCTCCGACGGGCCCCGCGCGCCCGCGGACCGGCAGCAGTGCCTGCGGCAGGAGGTCTTGCGCAGGGCCGAGGCCGCCGCCGCCAGCACCAGCAGGTCCCTGTCCGTCATGTACGACTCCGAGAGGATCGGAGTCGCCACTTCTGAAGTGAGTCTGTAGCAGTATGAGGCCGGATCGAGGCCAGTCAGCATTATCACACGGGTGAAGAATCTTTGGGGAATTTTCGAACGACCTAGAATAGATTCTTATACTTCAGTGACTTCGTGATTTTTAATAGTAACCTGTTAACTGGGCAAAGAGATGTACATCTTGAAAGAGGCCGTTTGCCCCCCACCCCGGGATTTCTGCTTAGCTGTTAGTCGGCTCAGTTGATGTTTTTTCCCTACTTGTAGTTCTAAGGTAAATTCCAAACTGGTCCAAGTAAGTAAAAATTCTGAACAGCAGAGCCTGGGTTAGAGAAATGGAGGGCCTGTCTCTTCTACATATACCCTGACTTGGGTTTCAGCGGATCCTTTCCAAGTGACCCAGGAGTGAGGATTGCTCAGGCTGGTGCCTGGAGCTTCAGAACAAATGGCCTGTGTCTTTCTCATCACTGACAGCTTTTCCACCTGGGAATGTTGAAGCCTGAGTAAGCTGTTGAGTAAGCCAGAGCCTGTTTGGTTGAGTCTAGGGCCTTATATTTACTTCCCAAATGCAAAATGCCCTAGGTGATGTGCGATTTGTGACAGTTGCTTCGATTTACCTTTGTTAATTATTCTTTACATCCACAAAAGATTTTTTTATACTTTTTTTAATTTTATTTTTATATTCCCCATACAACTGCAACCCCCTTATTTTGACCCCAATCCCTCTTCTCCCCCCCCCGCCCCCCATAGAGTGTCTCTGGCTCATAGTTGTTTGTTGATTTTGATTTTTACTTTCTTGTAGTTATTCTTTTTCCTGGTCTCTTATTTAAGTTTTCTAGATTCCTGCTAGGAGTGAGACCATCCGGTATTTTTCTTTTTCTTTCTGGCTTATTTCGCTGAACATGATCCCTTCCAGTTCCATCCATGTTGCTGCAAATTGCATGTGTTTAACTTTTTTGAATGCTGAGTAATATTCCATGGTGTATATGTACCACATCTTCTTGATCCAGTCATCTATTTTTGGGCATTTGGGTTGTTTCCAAAGCTTAGCTATTGTAAATAGTGCTGCTATAAACATAGGGGTGCAGGTGCGCTTTGAAATTGTACATCCGCAAAAGATTTTAGCTAGGACCTTTACTGAGGTGGTTTTTTTTTTTTTTTTTTTTTTTAAGGTACTACACTCTCTTCAGCCTACTAATGGAATGGTTTTGTTTAGGCAGAGAGAAAAGTTTTTTTAGGCTTAATAGTAGATTACTGACATATGCACTAATAATTCATCTTAAGCATTTGTAGCTTTGATTTTAATGCTGCAAGCTGAAATGTATTCCTTCTTGGGTCTCTTTGTAATTATTTTCTCAGGCAAGGTACACTTATGGTCTTGGACAGTTTTGAGGTATATTGATTAACTTCTCAAAGGGGCATCTTAGTCATTTCCCCATTGCCACCTTCTTGGATTATTCTCCTTCCATACTTCCCCCTGTTGTATTATCCTTCGCTGATCTGCCTTCCTATCATCAACCTCGTTGGGAAAGTTCAACTATTAGTTCTTACATCTCATATCTACTGGCTTCCAATTTCGAGTAAAAATGAAAAAAGTGTTAACTTAGATATGGGAGAAATGCCTGAGAGTTTAGGACCCTGGTGGAGGGGTCGCTTGATTGAGGGTTCCAAAGCCAAGGAAGTCAAGTAAAACTGTTGGAAGAAACTTTTTTGGAAACTGTGAGAACATTTGAAGTAGGTAATCAGAATGACACAAAGTGGGGTATCGTGGCAGAGGGTAAACTTGAATCTAACTTTTAAAGCTAATTCTTAGACGGGAGGACTAAAGTGAGAGAGAAAAGCAATAATCCAGCACTGTAACTCCTGGGCTCCTGAATGGGATGACAACATGCATTCAAGGAAAAGTCAGGGGGAGGCAGCTTAGGAACTTTCACTGTCAAAGGTTCTGGAACGTCTGTTCTCTTAATTAATAGATGTGAGTTATTTAAGGTTGGATTGTGGTGACATGTCCCATGCTACCCCCAAAGGTTCTTTTTCCTATGCAGTGGGAACTATAGGAGCAGACACAGTGTGGCATCTCAGGTCTCTGAGGATTGGCCCAGCCCTTAAATCATGACTGGGCAGGTGACAGGCTCTCTCATCAGCATGATTACACATTGAATTTTTCCAGGCTTGAATCAGTTCTCAATTATCAGAGGCCCTGGGAGGCAGTAATGTCCAGCACCCCTACAACATCCCGCTCCGTACTCTCCTAATCATCTTAGAATCACTCCCATCACAATTCATTCCCCTTAGAGGGGAGGGGAAAGATGGGCATTCTTCCTGCCAATCAGTACACAGGGAAGTTCATAGCAGGCCCAGCAGACCAGTCACCCCTACCCATCTCCCAGCTTAGATGGTGCCTGCCAAACACCCAGCATATGCCAAAACATGACAAATTTCTATAGAGGTTTAGGAGTTTACAAGTAATTTTAGGTTGAGAAGATCATAATTCAATCCCAATTTGGCAGAAATAGGAAAATTATGTCAAATCTCCTCTAGGAAAGGAAGTAGGAAAATCATGTCAAATCTCCTCTCTAAGAAAGGAAAGCTACCCTTCTCCTCTTGTGAAACCTGGTAAAGTTTGTTTCTCACAGAGACTTTAGCCATAGGTCATGAGAGATGACCAAAAGACAGATGAGAAGTAGTCAGGGCAGAGTAGGTGGAAGCTGCCTGGCCTGATAAACACAGTACTGAACCATAGAATTGCAGGCCACTCATCTCTTCCTCTGCTTGGCAAGCGTGTTTTTTTTCCTTTTACCTCTTAGTTTTTGTGAGGAGATAATCCAATCATTTGGTTGAAAATTAAAAGCCTACAGAAGGATATAAAATCTCTCACCCCTCTGTCCTCAGGGCTACCAGTAGCCGTCAGTTTCCTCACTGTCCTTGTGGAGATAATTCTGTGTATAAAGACAGAATGGTTAGCACCTTGCTTAATAGGATTGAAGGTTGTTTGTGGTAATATATAATGAACTTTTTTTTTTAATGATTGTGTTGTGTTCCATTGAATACATGATTTCTGTTTATGTAGCCAGTGTGCTAATGATGGACATTTGGGTCATTTGCACCTTTCAGTAAGACTCTTTTTGTCCTGCTTGGATGTAGTTTTTGTACTCCCTTTCACCATCCCGGCTGAGACCTGCCTGTCCAGGATGCTATGTGTCCTCTTTGGTAACTCCAGTGAAGTGTTCTGGAGTCTAGAATCTTAATTCTGGGAAGACCAGCAACAGATGTTAGGCTGGGGCCTAAAAGGGCTAGCATGGTAACATCAGTCAAAAGGGAGTGCTGTTTGGATTTGGTAGGACTCAAACAATGTGAAGCAAGCAGACCAAGGGGTACCCCTAACTTGCACATTCTAAAGGGGGCCAACTATCCACGCACACAAAGACAAAGTGCACTTTCAATGTAAGAGAATAAGAGAATTGTTTCCCAGTAAAATATCGCAAAATTACTCTTCCCCTCATGGGTAAATGCCCAAACCAGGTTGGCCCAAAGCTGCTAAGGCCTGAAAACTTGCCACAAGTCTAAGGCACCTTCTGACAGGCAACCCTGGAAAGTAGGAGAAAAGAACAAAATCAAAGTACAAATCAAGGTAACAGCTGCCATTGTCAGCCTCCCCATGGGTCTCTCACCCATACATCTTAAGTTCTCTACATACATGTCTTTCCTCCTTGAGTCTCCTCTAAGTCTCCCAAGTTCCTGGTACAAGCCAAGAAGCAAGCGAGCCCCCCTTCTCCATGTGTCTGTCCCTGTCTCTTCACCTTCTTTGTTGCATGGCTTGATGTGGATGCTTAGCTCCACCCACCATTAAGTGGGTCAGGAAATTATACCTCCCCTAACAGTGGAGATGTCTCTGTAACAGATGCACTTGGTGGCCCAAGCCTGCATGTCCTGCACATCATCTCATATGGAGGATGGGAGGGTCATTCGTCTTCTCAGCATCCTTCCACACTCAACAGTTTCTCTGAAGCCACACAGGGCATTTGGTTCAGAGGTAGATGAGAGGAGAACACACTTCCTTGTTTAGGAACCAAGGCCATCTGGCCATTCTCTCTAGGTTTCCCCATAATTTAGAGGGTGATGCCCACATTCTCTGGGAAGCTGATCTTGGAGCAGACCCTTCCCCACTCCAAATGAAGGACTGTAATGACCAGACCCATACTCCAAGGCAGCTTGTGATCATTCTATTAGTAGGCAGACTGAGGTGCACCCAAAGACCCCCCCAAACTTGCATGCTCAAAATAGGTTTGCCACCTGCCACACAAAGACAAAGCATATCCTCAGTGTGCAAGAGCTTCAGTAGAAAAGAACTTCAATAGAATTTAATGCAATAGAGAGAAGAAAGGATGATAGTTTCCAATAAAATACCCAAAGTTACCCATCCCCTTTTGGGTAAATGCCAAGCTAAACAGGGTTGGCTCAAAGCAGGGCCGCTGAGACCTGAAAGCTTGCCATGAGTCTAAGGCACTTTCTGGCAGAAAACCATAGGAAAGGGGCAGGAGGAGCCAGGAAAATTTGGAAGGAAAGGAGCAAAATCAAAGTAGTAAAGGTAAAGGCTGCCATTGTCAGTCTCCCCATGGGTCTCACCCACATGTCTTTCAAGTTTCCATCCATTAACCCTAATAATACTCTGGTACAAGGCCAAGAACTAAACATGGCTTCTTCACCTCTCTCTCTGCTCCACGGGCCTCCTCCAAGTCTTCCCCCAAGTCCTTTTTATCTTCCCCTCCTGCTCAGCTCCACCCTTCATTAGGTGGGGCAGAGAACATAAACCTCCACTTTTTAGATTACACTGGTAAGAGTAATGAGGAAGCTAGAGTTCTTAGCACAGCCCTGTCCTGACACACTAGCTGATGGAGGGGAAAGACAGCTGGTAGGTTAAATAATTCCCAAGTAGGTCTCTATCTCTAAATGTCTGGCAGAGAAGCAATCTCTTGCTCAACTTTCTGCCCCCCACACTTCTCTGTATAATGCCTTGTACATAATGGGTGCTCCCCGAGTAGTTGCCAAGTGAATAAATGATCTGGGGAAGGGAAAGAAAAAGAAAGGAGCAAGGAGAGGCTCTTTGAGGTATGGAGGAGAGATTAAGACAGGAAGAATAAATTGAGCTGTGTGTCTTTAGTTAAAATTGAATTTCTTTTTTTAATTAATTTTTCATAAGAGATCAGTGATTGGATTAGACTATTAGAAAGTTCTGGGATCCCAGGCAAACATGCCTCACCAGAGCTGTGGCATCTGGTCATATCTGCTGCTCCTTCCTGAAATGTCCACTGACAGCCACCATGTTGTCTTAAGGGACCTTAATATGCTAACCAGGTAATGTGCTGTGAGATGCTGAGGAACTCTCCTCTCTAACTTTCTGCCTGTGAAGTGGTTGTGAAAGTGGGGGGTGGTACTGAGAGGTGGTGTTTAGGAGTCCCTGAAGCCACACTCATGTTCAATGATTTCCCTAGAAAGATTCATTGGTTGTGTTTTATTACAGTGAAGGACTCAGGTAAATCTTCAAAGGAAAAAGGCTTATAGTGCAGTACAGGAGAGAGCTTCCAGCTTTCCAGTTGTGTAAACAACACATACTCTCCCAGCGAATATTGCCAACCAAGGAAGCGCACCCATACTTAGGGGTCCAGAGATTTTATGGGCAGTCCATCCAGGTATAGCTGACTATCTGTCTACCCCCATCTACCCCCACCCAGTTGACCTTGGTCTCCAACCCCTCCAGAGATCAGGCTGATACTATATAGCCTAAGGCCCTCATCATCAACTGTCTGGCCTGCCCTAAGGATTTCAGTAGACAAACACCCCCTAACAGGGTGACCCAAGGAGTAGGAGTCCAGACCTCCTGACATTGTTCCTCTACTGAACCTGCACACAAGCAGTGCGAGGCGCCAGCGTTACAGCCTCTGACCTTGGTAGTTTGTCATGCATCCTGAGACTCAGGTAAGTCTGAGTCTCTCCATGTTTTGAGTCCTCTCCATGTTTGGCTGCTGCCACTGCAGTGAGAGTGAGCCCTGGGTTTGAGCCTGCTCTCACGTTTACATCCTTTCAGTCCATGTGCATGCTACTGATGTTGGAAGGGGAGCAGTATAGCAGTATAGGGAAATTTCAAGTCTCTAGATTCAATTTATTGATTCCACATTGACCTCTGCCTATTATTCAACTTCTAGTTTTAATTAACAGCTTAATACAAGAAACTTAGTACTGACACCTTTCACTCAGGAACTTGGATGTGCTTGGTCAAGGAAGACCTGGCTGCCATTATGAGATGTATGGGCTTTGAAGGTTTGAGATATGGGATGCCTGCTGCCCTTTAGCACCACTTCCCTTGGTGATCCCTGCTGAGTCCAGCCAGGCCTTCCCATCTGCTCCCCTTCCACCCTCAACACACACACACGGTTCCGCTTCCTTTCTCACTTCCCCCAGCTGGCTGTGCTGTGACACCCAGACCCTGCACATGCTGCTCCCTCTACTCAGAATGTTCTTGCCCCACCCTGACCCTTTGACTCCCTAACTTCTTAGCTTTCAGTTTCTCACCCCTTCAGGGTAAGGGAGCCTTCCCTGACCCCGTACCCCTTAAGCCAAGTAAGGATCCTCTGTGAGGGGCACTCTCCCAGGCAGTATCTATCGTGTGTGTGTGTGAGATGACTTCTTTTCTGTGAGCCCCAGGAGCTGATGTGATGACTTCTTTTCTGTGAGCCCCAGTACTCTCAGTAAAGACCCATGCCCTTCCCTTGGGATCCCAGCACTACAGTGCTGTCAACAAATGAAAAATCAGATTGAACTTCACTCCTCTCACTCCGCTAGACTGTAAGCTCCATTAGGGCAGAGATTTGGAGTTCTTTAGTTTATCTCTAAATCCATCACCCCTGGAATGGTGCAAGGCAGAGAATAAGTGCTCAGTAATATCTGTTGGCAGATACCTTCCAGCACCTCTGTGACACTGCCTGTGTTTTCAAAGAGCATTCTGCTAGCTATGATTCCTCACAGGGCCCTTCAGCCGGGTCTGCATGGCCAGAGTCACCCCACAGAGCTTTGTTTGCCCTCACAGGGTCTTTAACTGTCTTGTTTTCTGCTTTCTCTTGCTCTATTGATAATCCCTCTACCTGACAAAAAGCCCCAAGTCAAAGAGAAATTGAGACACTCCCTCTCTTGTGTTTACCATTAATATTGTACCATGGCCCAAACAAATTTTTCTCCCACTATCTTCTTTTCCCACTTTAACTTTAGACTATTCCCTTTGGAGCTCACGAGAGTGGGGTGAATCAGCTGTACAACACCTGAGCTAAGCATTTTGTTTGCCCTCTACACCGAAGCCACTTTTGGGATGTATCCCCCTTTTGTGGGGATGAGAGTATGCCTTCATAATGGCAGGGGTGCAGAACCAACTGGCCAGTTCCTGCTTTCTTGGTGTCCTGGGGTTTGCTTGGTTGAACTCTTCTTTCCCATTGGTTAGAACTAGGTGACAGAAGTATAGAGCCTGGTGCTTTCCCTGCCTCTGGGAGGAGATTTTAGCAGGCAAAATTCCTCCTCTGCTGGCCTCCTGAACAGCAGATAACTCCTCGTGAGCACCAGTTTCCAGCATGCAGAAACTTCCAGACAAGAATAACACTTAACTGTCTTCAACTTCCGTTCCTGCCTCACACACCGGACAAGCCACCCTGACATGTTTCTCTGTGCTTCTTTCATAAAATCTAGATCAGACACTTGGATTCCTTACCAAATCATCACAGTGAGGTAGTCCTAAGAGTTTGGGACACTATGTCACTTCGGAACATAAGAAAATAAGATCTCACTGTGAATTGGGAATGTTTTATCAGCTGCTTGTTACTGCTGTGACTCTCCAAATCTAGATGGAAGGAGGAGGGAGAGTGGGTCCTGCAATGAGCCCAAATGGGAAAGCTCACTGTAAAGGAAGCTGAAGACCTGCCCCCTAGTGAAACAGCTCAGTCCTGGCCACCACTTCCACCCTCTGCTGTCCTCAGTGCCTGGGTGTCAGATTCTTCTGTAGCTTGTGGAATAAGCTGGGTGGTACTGGACTGTTAGAAATATATCAACCAAAAAAACATGAATGGAGAAAATCATTTCAGTCCTACTGTATACCTCTGCTTTGTTCCAGAAAAGACATACCTCAGAATAGACTTAGAGATGACAAACTTGAGGTGTTGGAAGAAGAAGATACTTCAGATAAATTAGCAACTCTTTTTTTTCGTATAAAAATTAGCCCCTGCAGGATTTGCTTGACATATTGAAGGACACTGTCCCAAAAATATTTTTCTTTTTACTCAAAAAAGCCTAATAGTTTCTTCAGATACATCTTATGAGTTTGTGAAAACATTTGAATGTTAAAACTTTAAAGCTCATCAGTTCTAAATTTATTTCCAGTAAAAAAATAGAACCTTATAGAAAATTGAACCAATGTTTTAGCTTCCTGCCCATGCATTATACTTTTAAATTTTATCCACTAAACATTAAAAACTCAAGTTATACATCAGGCTTCTAAATGCCTTAAAAGTCTTCTACTAATACCTTAATATCTAAAGTGAACTCTGACAAACCTATTGTATATAGTTTTCATTTCTGTCTTCCAAATTTCCAGGGTGTTTGTTTAAAATTGTTCATGATTTTGATTTTAGGTGTGGAGAAAATATCTCTAGTATTTGCACAGTAAAATAATTGCTGAATGACAGTTAGATACAGGGTTAGAAGATTTAGAGCAAGGTGACTTAGGGAAGGGGCTGCCTTATGAACCAGAAAAGAAAAGCTTTATGTCTTCAGACTGGAAGGACACAAAGGAAATGAAAGTTCGGGCCAAAATTTTGAAGGAAATAATCCATAAATTTGAAAGGAAAATCAAATAAAGGAAGATGGTAGTATGTTGCTGGTGTTGCATTCACATCCACAGCCAGAGCATCAGTTCTCAAGTACTAAGGGCCAGACTGTCCCTGTGGCAGAGCGTTATTCACAGGAGCAGCTGCTCTGATTCAGGCACCACAAGCAGGCATTTGCCTCATGCGGAGCATACCTGCTGTAAGGAAAACTAAAACAGGGAGGGAGTGGAGAGGGCCACTTGAGGCTGGAAGGAGTTCTACTTTTAGAGAAGGTGTTTAGGAATTGCTTCTCTGAGGATGTGCCCACAGAGTGGGAACTCAAATGAGGAGCGTCACAGACAGAGAAAGTAGCACATGCAAAGATCTTATGTATGACAGGGTCACTGTTTTCATAGGTTTTAAAGCTGAAACTGATGGGCTGGAATCAGACATTAACAGGGCCCAGAAAGAACCCCAGAACTTGATCTGTGAAATAGTTTGAAGATGTGACCAGGACCAGGTGGCTCAGGTGGCCCCATCGAAGATCGATGTGTGGGGAGGACTAGAGAGGGCCCATGTCAGTTCAGGCCCTACACTTACTCCCACAGGTGCATTTCATCCATCTTAACGTGCTTCTATGAGCCAACCTTATATAGGCAAGGGAGATCAGGACTCAGGAACAAATAAGAAAAGGAAGCTAGTAGAAGTAGGGCAGGGAAAGAGACAAAGGGCCATGTCAGAAAGTATAACTTTCTCCCTACAAATGACAGTGTCTGTCTCTCTGGGTACTCAGGGTTTATGAAGAGCCCACCACGTGTGGTCCTTTCTTATTATGTGTGGTACAGCTGGGACAGGACTACAAATATTTATAATGCCTTTGCCCCTCATTTTCCCCAGGAGCTTGTCCGTCAGCGAGGAGTCTTAGAACACACAGAGAAGATGGTGGACAAGATGGATCAAGATTTGAAGACCAGCCAAAAGCATATTAACAGCATTAAGAGTGTATTTGGGGGGCTTGTGAATTACTTCAAATCCAAACCAGCAGAGACATCAACTGAACCAAATGTTACCCTTGCACCCCCAGCCAACAGCAGGTGAGTGGGTCTTCAGTTAAGTCCATATGAGGTAGCAGAAAATGAGATTTTGTCTAAGTGGCCAAGACTTTCAGGCTACATCTGGTATCTGAAAGGAATCCTAGATCTGTGTAAGCTATGCATTAGCAGATTTGTCTTCAAACATTTTGAAACATTTCTCTAGTGCTCCTGATTATATTCATTTGATTGATACTTAGTGTGCAAATTCTTCATATAGTTTGTCTTAGCAATAACTGCTCCAATAATTGTGACTCCGATTATTTAAGAAAAAAATGTTCACTGCAGAAAGCTTACTCATTTCACAGAATTTTTAGTCTTTATATCCACCTTTTTCATATCTAATCCTTTTTCCCATTGATTATCATTTTAAAATAAGATAATACTTTTCTGAAAGTTTTCACCAGAGTGGCCTCCCTGGTGGCACAGGGGTTAAAGTCTCAGTGCTATCAAGCTAGCACCAGCTACTGCAGCATGAGTTCAATCCCTGGCCAGGGAACTGACCCACATGGTGCAGCAGGCCTCTCCTGTTTCACCTGCTGCTCCCCTCAGCGGTGTATTTCAGTAGATCCACCTGTTCTGCTCCCCACTTTGTCTTTGGTGAATCCTCTCATCCCTCCCAAACCCACCCTCCACCCCACCCCCGCACCTCTGGCCTAGACCCCAGTCCTTGTATGTATAAATAAATAAAATAAATCTTTCTTAAAAAAAGTTTTCACCAGAGATATGATAAAATCATACATGGCATTTTGGAGAACTTGTTTGTTTTTTTTTTATTTATTTATGCATACAAGAACTGGGGTACAGGCCAGAGGTGCGGGGGGTAAGAGGATTCACCAGAAACAGAGGGGAACAGAACAGGCAGATTGACCGAAATACACTGCTGAGGGGAGCAGTGGGCAAGTCAGGAGAGGTCTGCTGCACCATATGGGTATCTCCCTGGCCGGTGGCTGCGGTTAGCTTCATAGGTTACACCTTAACCCCTTGCGCCACCAGGGAGGCCCTGAAGAACTTGTTTAAATGTCACATATTCAGAGACAAAAGAATTGAATTTCTGCTAAATTAGATTGCTACTATTCATGGCAGATCATTGTTTCTTTTTAATTACAAAAATAAGATAGTCTTATTATGGAAAATATTATACCTTACCTGCCATGACATAAAAATGTAACTTTAGTTTCTCCCTTTATTTTTTTTTTGACTTCTAGCCCTTTTTTTTATTTTTTTATTTATTTTTTACATCGTTCTTCACTTTTTTACAATGTATGCTTTCTCATCTCAGTTAGTTTTTCCCTTTATAAGTGTTTTCATAGTTGTAATCAGACATTCCTTTGGTTTTGGAGCTTGCTTCTTCCATTTAGCCCAGAAAAATGTTTGCTGTTTTGTTATTACATGAGTTTTCATTACCATCTCTCTCTTACTCTCTCTTTTAATTCTAGAGTACAGAACTACTTTCTAAGAGGTATTTTTTAAAGCTGCATAACTGATACACAACAAAATGTGTGCATCTTAACTGGAAAGCCGATGACTGTTCGCATGTATACACACCTGTGTGACCACAGCCCAGATCAGGATGTAGGATACAGTAAGGAAAAAATTAGGAAATTATTTCAAGCTCACAGTGGGTCTATGGAGAAACGAATGCAGGGAAAGGAGCTGGTAGTGGGAACAAAAAAAGACCAGGCAGGGAAAGTTGTTGGCACTTATAAAAAGGGAGCTGCAGGAAAGAGTACAGCCAGTTAGGAGGCCCTGCACCCCTTCCTGCACTCATTTCCACTTTAACCTTAATTTCAAATACCTGTCACTCTTTGCCCCTAACTGGAATTTGTTCTTCAACATGCAAATCAAAAAGATACTTTGCTTCTAATTTTTGGCTACATGTAATTACCATAGGACTTTTGGACTAAGATACCCACTAAGATACCATTCACTTTGGACTAAGATACCCACTTCACGTGAGCTTAGCAGTGGAGCCAGTCCTTAGAGAAGTGGAAAGCTGGCAAGTTTGTGATTATGCTTTCCTAAATCTTCCATGCCTCTTCCCAAAGGCTTCTTGGGGTTCTTGTCCCCTTACCCAGTCATGATCACACTATAAAAGCCTTTGCGGTCCTAGGAGTTCCTGGAACATCTTGGAAACCCAAGGCCTTCCCAACAAAAGCACCCCAATGGTGAGGCAGCTGGGGTCATTTCACTGAGATGGGCTTCGTGGTGCCTAGCATTATATATCCACCTGGCCTTCTACCCGTAGAAGTGGGTAACTGCATTGGAGTGCATTGAAGGGGCCCTTTGCACCTTTGTAAGAGAAGCTGCCCAAGTGGTGTTGTGTGGGGTCCTTCCTTCATGTTCCTGAGCACCCACACTCTGCAGGCCTTGCCTCTGGCTGGGAGATGAAGCTGTAGGAGTGAGGTTCATATGTGGGGAGAGAAGGGGAGGTGGAGGAGGGAGTGAGCAGTGATGCAGTAGAGACCCATTTGAAGAGGCGTTTGGCTCTGAGGATTGGGAAGCTGACCTCTTCATGGAGTAGAGGTTGCATGGGGGGCTGCCAGTTGAAGGAGAGGGTAAAGGACAAACACGTGGCAATCAAAGCATAGGAGAAGCTGGGATGAAGGATGACATTTGGCTATTATACGACTGAGCCCATTAGGCTTTTGACATTGAGGTGAAGATATAACCTGTGAGTTCTTAAATACCTAAATTTGCAAAAATCATTGTAATGTATAATTCTATAAAATACAGCAAATTGTAAGTAAAATTTTTGTGACCCCATCATAGTCTTTAATCCATAAATACAGGAATGTTATTTCAAAGCTTTTAAAGTAAGTTTCTCCTAGTCAAACTTCTGTTTAGTCATTCATTTCCTGTGTGCATCCTTATCTCACAAGCCCTTTGGCCCTCTCTGAAGTTTTATTTGTCCCGTGATAAGCTATTTTTTCTTGCTGACAAAGTATCATAAGCTGCTTGTTCTAATTTCCATTAGGCTCATGATCATTGATTTAACCATCCCAAAATTTGAAACTCTCTATCTTAATCAAGACTTATTCTGACCAAAAACTACCCTTCCATTAGACTTTTTCCTTTTCTTATCACTTCTATCTTGTCTCTAAAATTAGCTTTTTTTGGGGGGAAGCCATTTTCCATAAACCAAATTTTTCTGCTTAAAGTATTGCCAGTGTGTACATAAGAGCACATGGGAAATCAGCCTTGGGCTGTGCAGGCTGCGTGGTCGTGGCCAGGCAGGCTCGAAAATCACAGATCTCCCTCTTATAGCCAACCCAACAACCTGTAGGCTCACAGTCATGCTTGGAGAAACCAGCTGTGCTCAGAAACAGCAGATCTCCCTCTTCTAGCTAACCCAGCAACATGTGGGCTTACAGTCATGCTTGGAAAAACCAGTTGTGCTTTACAGAACTTCATTTGCTGCTTCTGAGTAACACAATCCTGTTACCAGTTACCAGGCTCACCATGGAGCAGGCTCACCATGGAGCTGGAACCTGCAAAACCTTTAGCCTAAAAGAGTCCAGGCTTTCTCTTAATGGACAAGGAGAGATACATGTCATGATAATGTTAGAAAGATGCCCAGCAACCATGGAGGGCAGGAAGGGTAAAGGTTGGAGAGGTTAGGGGTTTATTCCTGTAAGAATAGAGTGGCATAACACAAGGAAGGGCTGTATTTCTAGGATCCATGGGGAATCAAGAAGGCATTTGGGGGCCTCCCCGGTGGCGCAGCGGTTGAGCGCTGGGTTGCGAAGCTGCCCGCGGCCTCTGCAGCGCCGGTTCGATCCCCGGCTGCTCCCCGGCCACCACAGGAGGGTCCCACATGGCGCGCAGACCTCTCCTGCCGCCCGCTGCTCCCCTCAGCAGTGTACTTCGGTCCTTCTGCCTGCTCTGCTCCCCGCTCTGGCTCTGGTGAATTCTCTCACCCTCCCGCGCTTCTGACTGTACCCAGTGCATGTATAAACAAAACAAACAAACAAACAAATAAATAAATAAAGCATGCCTCTATTAAAAAAAAAATATTAAAAAAAAAAAAGAAGGCATTTGGATTGTGGGAGTGGAGCTATACAGAGGGAGGGAGGGGAAAAAATAGAGAATTGTGAATCCCAGCTTGGTTGATAAGTGTGCAGGCTGCTTTTCAGTGAAGGTGAAGCAAAGCAGACTGTGTAGGAGTCTCAACTCAGGGATGGGGGCTGAGGGATTTAATGGAATGTCAGGTGCAATCTGAGCTTCTCTGGGTTGCTGAGAAACCACTGACTACAGCTAGAGCTGACAAACTTTGTGGGCCAGGAAGCAAAATCAAAGATAATTTGTGGGGACTTATCTATCAAGAGGGGAAAAAAAGTGGCAAAATTCAAAATATGAAAATAATAACAATTTGGGTACAATTTTTTTGATATTATTGAGAAGAAAAAACTCATTGAGGCTAAAAGTTAGTGTTCCTGTCATCTAATCTGTTGCCGTCTATAAAGGCCATTCTCTGCCCACAGTCATATGAAGTCAAGTGGTGGGCAGGATCTGGCCCTCATGTCACAGTTTGCTGGCCCTGGTCTAACTTACCCATTTGATCACATAATGCCTCCCTTCCACTTGGTCTTCTAAAGGGAGGGCCACTAACTAGATTGTATTCTTATAAAGCAGATGTCTTGGAAGTTTGTTGCTGTATGACTGCGGGGCTCATCTCCCAGGAGGTGCTGATGAAATTCCTGCTTGGGTCACAGGAGCTTTGCACAGAAGAGGCATTTGATTTCAACAGCTAGGCACTGCTCGTGTGGGCGTAGGTGTTTTTCCTTTTTAAAACGTTCCTTTTTTCTTAACTTTTGTCCAAAGATTGAAAGAAGCCATAAGTACAAGTAAAGAACATGAGGCAGAGTACCAGGCCAGTCATCCAAATCTCAGGAAGCTGAATGACTCAGGTCAGTGGGGACCCTGTGCTCCCAGCCACATTTGGATTCTCCGGGGAGACCTCTGGATTTAGTGTTAGCCCTGAATAGTGGGAGTTTGGAGGGGATCCACAGGCTAGGTAAAGGATTAGGAACCCAAAGCTGCTCTCAGGAACTGAAGTTGTGCTTCACAATGTCTCATCCCTCACTCTCCCATGGAGAGTAGAATGAGGAAGTGGGGGCCTACATCCCATTGAAAATGAACCTCCCTGCCACTGGTTCCTGCCCAATGTCTATCTAGATCTAAGTTAATATATACCATACCAGTTAAAGTCCCCTTAATTTCTTAAAAATCATATCTTCCAGGCTCAGGGTTATACTTCTTTAGGTTATGAGAAGCCTGGGTTTTACCCTGGGCTTTATATATTTTTTGTTTCTCCCATTTCTGTGGTTTTGCTTTTCCAGGCTCTCCTGGCACTATAAAGGCAAATGCAACAAAATTCCTGTGGTGGGTAGACTAATGACCTCTTCCCAGCAAGGAAGTCCACTCTCTAATCCCTGTGCGCCATGAATATGTTAGGTTACATAGCTAAAAGAGAAATTGTGTTTATAGAGGGAATCACACTTGCTGATCAGCTGACCTTGAGATGCTGACATTATCCTGGATTATTAGTTGAGCGCAGTATAATTGCAAGGTCCTTTTTTTTTTTTAAGATTTATTTAGTTATACAATACCCGAGGTATGGGTCAGATGTGCAGGAGGGTGAGGGGATTCCCCAGAGACAGAGTGGGGAACAGAACAGGCAGACTGACGAAATACACTGCTGAGGGGAGCAGCGGGCGAAACAGGAGAGGTCTGTCGTGCCATGTGGGTATCTCCCCAGCTGGCAGGGATTGAACCCGTGTTGCAGAGGCTGCAGACAGCTTCACAGTGCGGCGCTCAACCGCCTGTGCCACCAGGGAGGCCCGCAAGATCCTTTATAAGAGGAAAGGAAAGCAGAAAAACATCAGAATCAGAAGAAGGTTTGAAGATGCTATCGTGTTGACTTTGAAGATGGAAGAAGGGACCACCCCCTAAGGAATGCATGTGATCTTTAGAAGCTAGAAAAAGAAGCCTCCCTAGTTGGCGCAAGGGATTAAGAAGCAACCTATGAAGCTACCCACAGCCACTGCAGCATGAGCTACCCACATAGAGAGGGAGCTACCCACATAGAGCAGCAGACCTCTCCTGACTCGCCTGCTGCTCCCCTTAGCGGTTGTATTTCAGTTAGTCTGCCTGCTGTATTCCCCATTCTGTCTCTGGTGAAACTTCTCACTCCCTACACCTCTGGCCTGCACCCCAGTCCTTGTATGAAATAAGTAAATCTTTCAAAAAAAAAAAAAGGCTAGAAAAGGCTAGGACTCAAATTCTCAAGAAGCTCCAAAAGAAGCGCAACTCTGTTGACACCGGTTCATTATCCCAATCAGACCCAAATTAGACCTTCAACCATAAGTTTGTGGTAGTGGTAGCAAGCCTGAGCAGGTGGAGAAGCAGTGTGGACAAGGTATATGCGATAGAATGTGTTTTGTGTCAGATGCTCCCATTCATATGAATAATAGGTCCAGAAATCTCCCTTATCTGGAAAGGAATGTGTGCCTCCTGAGGGCATGTTGGAATGATGCGAAAAGCCACATGCTTGCTGTGCCATCTTAAAGGCAAGTAGAACCTCCCACTGCCTTGGTAAACACAGCTAAGGATACCACTGATGGTGGAGCAGGTTCAGGGGAGACGGAGCCTCCATACAGCTCTTGAGTCTGGAAAAACAAAACCACACAAGAGGGAGAAACAAAAAACAAAGCACAGGGAATAACCCAGGCTCCTCATAACCCAAAGAAATATAATTCTGAGCTTGAAAGATGTGATTTTTAAGAAATTAAGGGGAGTTTTAATTGGTATGGTGTATATTAACTTAGGAGAATAAAGAAAAAAATACAGTACTTCTATGTAGGGTGACTTAGCTAGGTTGTACTGAAGGAAAGACACTAGGTCTAGAAAAAGGTGTTTCCCCAAAAGATGTAAGCCCAGACAACAGGACTTTTCTGTGTGTTTAGAATCAACTTCAAGTTAGATTTCTTGGGGGGCAATGTGCATTATTTAACCTTTTCCCCCTTGTTTGTTTTGTGTGAATAGAAAGACGGCATAGAAATAGATTTAAAAAAAAAAAATCACGGTCATCCTATTTCCATAACTAGATTTTGAAAACCTTGGCTTCAGACCTTGTCCCCCAGCCTATCAGTTTCAGATCATTGCAGTTCTGCTGCCTTCATGTTGCTTGTATGAATCTCTTTTTCTCTAGCTTGGGTGCCAGAGTCTTACCAAGTGACCTTAAGTTGAAGGTCTTTGATCTCCAAAGAGCTGCCTGCCCCCACCCTCCAGGAAATAGCTCTCCCTGCCCAAGTCTCCCTCCTTCTGCATGTTATCCCTTCCCACACTCTTTGAACAGCCTCACAATTAACCATTTTGTTCCTTCAACCCATTTTCCAAATTAAGATTAATTTTGTAAACAATTTCAAGAGATGTCTGCTAACTGATCTCCTGCTATTTCTTTCTAAACTCAGACTCCATCCCTGGAGGGGCTGGTTCTGCTATGAGTACCGAGGCTTACCCAAAGAACACATACCTTCGAGCCTACCACCAGAAGATCGACAGCAATCTAGGTAAAACTAGAAACTGCACCAACCTCCACCACTCACATTTGGAACACTTAGCTTCCAGACAGCTTGAGCCTAGCCCAGCCTGTGCATCAATGGCCACATAGTTTCTCAGGACTTCAACCTGATATCTGCCTCTCCCTCACTGTATGTCAAATTCCACCTGACTCTTCATCTCACCCTCTTACTCTCTCTGAAGTTTGTTTACTTCTCTCCATCCCCATCTCTCCTTTGAATCATGACAGCAAGCAGGGTCCAGGATCCCAGAATAACTCCCATGTGAATCAGGCACCAAAACAGAAGCCATCCACTGAAGAAGTCTTTGGCCACATTTTCTAGCTACATTACTAGAAATGGGATTGCAGAGTCAAGGAATAGAATCTGCCTTTTAACCATTAAAAGAAATCTTTTGAAAAATGAGACAGTGATTGTAGAGAATAAATTAAAGCAAGGAAAAGAAATTAAAAACCTGTAATTGTACTACCCACAGCTTATCACTGCTCCCCTCAATGTAAATGTCAACAGTAGACCTGTATGGCCAGTGTCCACTGGCAGCAGGGCAGAGGGCCCATCTCAGCACTCTCCATACATGGGCAAGCCTCCACCCAAACTCTTAACTGCCCTTTGCCCCCGGAGCCCAGGGAAACCCCAGGCAACCACCCCTTGCTTCTGTCCTCTGAACTCTGCCCTGGAGCCAAAGACTTCTCAGGCAAAAGGTACATCTGCTAGGATTGTACCATTTAAGAGACATACAAAAAGGACTTGAATGACCTCTGGCCTCCCCATCATAGGGTTTCCCTATGAAGAAGAGGTATCAGTGGCACCTGCTTGGAGTGAACAGAAGCACAGCCTACCACTAGGGGCTGCAGGTGGTTGGCTTGAGGCTTGGCAGTTAGGGAGTCAGCAGCATGCAGAGTGGTGTGGAGGAGGCCTGGGGTAGAACACAGAAGACTCCACCAGAGAGTCACCAAAGGGCATGCTCAGAGGCTAGTCCATCTGCTCTTGGCACATTAATGCTTCTCTTTTTACACCTCCTCCCCTATTTGAGGAGCTGGTAAAAGCCCCCCTCTGACATCAGTAAAGGCTTGACTTTATGTCTTTTTATCTCAGTGTAGCTATTTGCTTATTCTTTGTTGTCCAGATTGCCAACAAGCTTCCTGAGGCCTGGGGTGACATAACAGATTTTACTCTCTGGAATACAAGATTATAGATTTCAATAAACTCAAGTATAGAACTGTTTTTTTAAATAATCTGATCCTGCTTAGATTTATGATGCCAGTGCCAAGTATTTATGTAGTCTGACTTTTTAAATCTATGATTAAATCTATGTTTTAATCTTATGATTTAGCAATAGGAAGACTTAGAAAAAGCACTGTTTCTTCTCTTCCCTCTGGCTTTCTCCTATGCTGCTATTTCTAGTAAAGAAACAAAGTGTCTCTGGGCATGCCCCCACTGTACTTGCTGTGCACATGTGCTTACACACACATACACACAGAGGAACCTGGGGAAACAGTCTTAGTGCTCACCCTGGTTGTCTCTCCACACCCCCCCCCCACTAATTCTTACTTCTCTTTATGTCTCTGTGCTGAGTACTCCTAAGGCTGACCATGTCCTTATAGAAGTCTTCTTAAAAACAAATATCAGATTGAGTTTTACAACTTTTTAAACATAAGGAAAATATTTATTATAAACAGAAAAGTGTAGGAGGGAAATAGAATGAGTTCAGAAGAAAACTGGCGCCAGAGTGATTTGTTATGACGAGGCTGCTCCCAGAGGCTTTCCTCTTGCAGGGGGCTCCGGGACCTGCCTCTCAAACATGGCTCCTCTTATTTTTCTACTCCGGATCCATACTTGATTTAATTTTAGGGAACCAGAAATGGAAGGAAAGTGGGCACTGTAAAGTGCTGACAACCAACATGGGAATTTTGCCTAAAGAGCAGGCCAGCGGGTCTATTAGGGACCAGCACACCTCTCCCCCTCGTACTTCCTGTTTTCCAGGTCTCTGCTTCTCTTTGCCTTAGGCATTCACTATCTTGCAATATACAGCAACCCACTAGAAGGTTAAAAGGCAGCTGAAAAATTATGTATATCTTATATACATTTTTAAAGATACTAGAAGGACGAACACCATTTTTGTTAACAGTGGTTAAGCACATATTGCTTTTTATTGAATAAACAGATCAGATTTTTAATTTTTTAACATTTTTTTTATTGAACTACCGTTATTTTATATCCTTGTTCATTTTTTCACAATAAAGAATTTCTCCACTCAGGTGTGTCCACCATAGTTCTTCCACCTCCAGGTAACCCATAATTCTCCACCACAGTTTTGTTTTTTTTTTTTTTAATTTTATTTATTTATGTGTAGAAGAACTGGGGTATAGGCCCCAGGTAAAGTGGGGTAAAAGAATTCACCAGAGACAGTAGGGAACTAAACAGGTGGATTTACTGAAATACACTGCTAAGGAAAGCAGGTGGCAAGACAAGTGCGATCTGCTGTGCCATAGGTGGGATAGCTCCTGGCCAAGGATTGAACTCCAGCCAAAGTGGTAATAGTGCTGAGTCTTAACCCCTAGCCACCAGGAAGGCCCCAGTTTTATTAAATTTTTATTGGAGTAATACTCGCTTATTACACTGTATCAGTTTAAAGTGTATAGCAGGGGCCTTCCTGGTGGCACAGCGGTTGAGCCCTGGGTTGCGAAGCTGCCTGTAGCCTTTGCAGCGCTGGTTCGATCCCTGGCTGCTCCCCGGCCACCGGAGGAGGGTCCCACATGGCGCACAGACCTCTCCTGCCGCCCGCTGCTCCCCTCAGCAGTGTACTTCACTCCTTCTGCCTGTTCTGCTACCTGCTCTGGCTCTGGTGAATTCTCTCATCCTCCCGCGCTTCTGACTGTACCCAGTGCTTGTATAAATAAATAAATAAATCTTTAAAAAAAAAAAAAAAGTTATTTTAAAAAAAAAAAAAAAAAAATAAAGTGTATAGCATTATAAGTCAACATCTGTCTATACTACATTATAGTCTAGTTTCCATCAGTCATCATACAATTGCTCCCCTTTACCTGATTTTCCACCACCACTCCCTCTCCCCATCTGGTTATTACCACTTATTTGTTTTTATAACCTAAGAATTTGGTTTAGTTTTATTGTTGGTTTTGTTTTTGCTTTCCCGTTTTTAAGTTTCAGGTGTACAGCTTACTAGCTCAATACCTGTAATACTATACTATCACCACCAAAAGTCTAGTTCACATCCACCACTGTACAATTGATTTCTTTTACCTACTTTACCTGCTCTGCCCCCTATCCTGCCCCTCTACTAACCACCATTCTGTTGTCAGAGCTAAGGTTTTGCTTTTATTGTTTCTTTTTTTTTTTTAAAGATTTATTTATTCATGCATACAAGAACAGGGGTATAGGCCAGATGTACAGGAGGGTGAGAGGATTCACTAGAGACAGAGAGGAAAACAGAACAGGCAGACTGACCGAAACACACTGCTGAGGGGAGCAGTGGGCGAGACAGGAGAGGTCTGCCACACCATGTGGGTATCTCCCTGGCCAGCTGGGATCAAACCCACGCTGCAGAGGTTGCAGACAGCTTCACAGCACTGCGCTCAACTGCCTGCACCACCAGGGAGATCCTACTTTGTTTATTTTCCACATGAGTGAGAGATCATTTGGTATCTTATTTTGTTGTTCTTGTCTGAATTATTTTATTTAGCATAAACCCCTCAAGGTCCATCCATGTTGTTGCAAGTAGCAAGATTTCATCTTTTTTTGTTACTGAGGTAGTTTTCCATTGTGTGTATATATACACCACATCTTTATCCACTTATTCATCAGTGGGACCTTATAGATAATTTCCATATCCTGGCCACAGTGAACATAGGGGTGCATTTAGCTTTCAAATTAGTATTTAAACAGATTTTATTTTCATTTAAATGTATTTTAGAAAATGATTTTAGAAAGCCATAGAGTTTAACCTATCTCATGAGAAAAAGAATTGAATTACGTAAATGTTGCTGAGCTATGCAGTTCCTGATGCTCTGTTTGCTCAAACCTGTATGTCCTTTCCCTCTCCCACAGATGAGCTGTCCATGGGGCTAGGCCGACTGAAGGACATAGCCCTGGGGATGCAGACAGAAATTGAGGAACAAGATGACATTCTTGACCGCCTCACAAATAAAGTGGACAAGTTAGATGTCAATATAAAAAGCACAGAAAGAAAAGTTCGACAACTTTAAAGACAGAAAGATTTCCACTCCCTTGTGATGAAGATTCACAAGATTCTTTAAACTCCTAAGAAATTTCATGTGTTATTTTAGTATTTAATTTAATACATGTTTGCAAATGTCATAAAAGAGTGGGTCTTAAGAGATGTTGTGATGAGGAAATGTGTGTCCCACTTTTTGTTTGAATTGAATGCTTCGTGTTTTAGTATGACCATAGTGGCCTGGCCCTGAGTATCTTGGACCTTTGATTACCATGCTAGAATGAGAAGAACAAGTTACATTTCTTATTTCAATGAGTATATGAAAAGTTGTGAGCAGAATTTCAATGTTAGAACCACCAATCTCTGTTTCTCCATTGGCTGTGTTTCTCATTTGTAGACCTGCAAGCCAAAGTGCTTAGGGATTCCATGTGCCAGATTTTTTATAGGGCAGCTCCCTCCTACACCTTGGTTAGCAGTCATCATCCCACAAACACATATACTGAGCATATTGTGAATTCTCTTAATGCCTCAGAAAAGGGTCAGTGTTAGATTCAGTAAAAGAGGTGTTGGCATTGTTTGCTATTCTGTTGGCAGATGTCACCTCATGATGGGCATTTTAGTAGGAGTTACTTTGACTAACACTATTCCCTGTGACATCTGGGAATGTAAAGAATTGGATAAGCCTTTCTTCCCCACATGTCCTCATCTCGCTCTGCCTATGGTTAGGAATAGATTCCCTACTGACTCAGGACTGCCTGGCTGATCAACTAAGGGCTTTCTGAATTGGGAATACAGCTTCACACAGATGTGGCCTTCCTCCACAGAGCTCCACCCAAGACCTCTCCAGGGATCATCTGGACCAAGTTACAGGTACCTGGAGTCTTGGCCTATCTCTTCTTGCACTTCTAGCAAGGTGATTTTACTCACTTGGTTCTCTGACACCCAATTTTAGGACTATTGTGCCACAAGTGATACTGACTTTGTATAGAAAGGTTTAAGACCAAAAAAAATTTCACACACACAAATGTATATACACATATACATACACACACACAAACACACAAATAATCATTTTAACTGACCCAGCTTGTTCAACTGCTCTCCTTTCACTTAACAAAAGACTAATTAAAAGCATTATTTTCTGTGATTAAGTGAATTTCTTTGTGTTGGCACCTCAAACAAAATAAATGAAGCCACAAGACTCTTGTTTCTTTAAAAAGCAAATTAATTAGAATATTTTGAAGCCATGAAAGGAAGTGATTCTAGTAAGATAGGTTAGTCCAGAAACTTGAAACAGGACATTTCACTTTGAAATAGGGTGAAGAAAGGCACTTTGTGACCTTTGCTACTTTGATTTTCTGGCCCATTAAACAAAGTCTCCCAAAGCAAAGGAAAACTCTTTAACATGCTACAACAATGGATCAGTATTTATGTAGCAATTTGTTTGTGAGAGTCCCATCCTATAATGCATGACCTCCCTAAAAGTACCGACAGCCTTCATTGGCAGACACAACTTTCTGTCATGTATCGACCACCTCAGGGAATCTGATCCATCTGTGTTATTATGCATGCCCCTGAATGTTAGGACATGATTAATGATCATCAAGTTTAGACATTTATCAAGTGAGCTTGTCATGACTTTTCATGATAACTGGCAAAAGGAAACATTTTAAATAGATACCCAACTAACACTAAACAAGGTCACAGAACTTTCAGCAAGAAGACTGCTCAAAGGCATGAAGCCAAAATAAAGAACAGTTCTATATACATTTCCACTCCTAATTTTTCTAGGTTTTACCTCTCTTAACACCTTCCTCCATGTAGGTTATAATATAACTGTTTCTGTTTATTGTTGTTATGCATGGAGTGTCATACCTCAGACCTAAACTTACTTTTTCAAATAAATATATGTAAAGGCCACTGCCAAACATTCTCTTGAGAGGCCATCCCCTGTGTACATTGGGATTAGTGATTTAACTGACTTGAAGCGAAGTAGCATTTATTGTATATACTTTCCCTGTCTGTTGTTAGATTAATGGAGTCAACCAGCCCCCTCTTTTTTTTTAACCCTAAGCATATGGAGTGAGATTTCCCTCACATTTCTAGGAATTTGTCTTCCTCTGAAATATATTTCATTCTGTTATTTGAACATTTTAGGACCTTTGCCAGGATGTTTTCCATCATAAACTACATGCTAAACAGCAGCTTTTTTCTGCTGGATCCACATCCCTGCTCCCATGACCAAAAGGAACTGGTTGTTGATGCTACTTTATAAATCAAAGTTGTTCACATCTTCAGAGAACAAAGGAAGGCCTGAGGTGCCTTTAGAATCTTTGCACTTGATGATTATGATCAAAAAAAAAATTCTATTCTCTAGACTGGACATGTCTCATGTAGATGCCCGGAGGGGCCAGGGCTGAGGTTGGCTTTGGACTTTGGCATCATAGACAAGACCTGTGAACTCATCCTTCCCAGAGGGATCCCTAAGACAGATTTCTGTTTGCATAGTAAAGTTGGAAACAAACTGTGCCTTCAAAAAAAGTGACTTTTTAACTTTATGTTGGGTATATGTTAAGTGTGCTACTAAATTAGTAAGTGCATTCTCTTTCAGAGAAAATTATTTCTAACATCTAGTGATTTTTAGCTTAAAATTAATAGGGTTGCCTTGTGTATCTTTTTCAAAATCTGTTGGAACGAGGACCTGAATTTATCAGGTGGCAAGAAAAAATACACAAGTGTATTTTAATTTCTCTAACCTTTTTTCTGTGAGTATATAATTTTAAGTGTACACTATACCAATTTAATAAAAATCTACTTTATATAGGCCTTTACTGCAGAATTTTTAAAGTTACCAATGTTAGCATCTTCAGCTCTAATGAATGAAATGTCTGTACATAATTATGAACTAGTCATTACTAGTTCATGGGGTGTGGAGGGGAGAGGCAGAATTTTTGTTCAGAGTCTGTATCAGAACAATTCTTAACGTTCTATGCCTTCAATTCAACAAATGACCACAGTCCATAAAATAAAATGCAAAGTTCTTTTTTAATAAAATTCTGTTTCCTTATGGTCATTTTCAGAGTTATGGTCATTTTGGAGCGCTTCCTCCTTGTAGTAATTGTATGCAGGACCGTATGTATTTGATCCTCACTGCCACATTTAGCCCCCAAAACGAGCTTCCTTCTTGATATCCTCTCATCTCCTCTGTTGGAGTGCTCTTCCAGTCTGTCTCCTACCTCCCTACCCACTTTTCAGCATTCTCAAAATCAGTGGTTGGCAAACTGTAAAGGACCAGAGAGTAAATGTTCTAGGCTCACGAGGCAAATGATCTGTTAAAACTACTCTACCACTGTAGCACAAAAGCCAAAGACAATTTGTAAATAAGCAAGAGTGTGCGAACAAAACTATTTAGGGACACTGAAATTTGAATTTCATATAATTTTTACAGTCACAAAATACTATTCCTTAAGACTTTGAAATCACTTAAAAATGTAGGGGACTCCCTGGTGGCTCAAGGGGTGAGACGCAGCACTATGAAGCTATCCGCAGCCACTGCAGCATGAGTTCAATCCCCAGCCAGGGAGGTGACCCACATGGCGCAACAGACCTGTCCTGTCTGCCCGCTGCTTCCCTCAGCAGTGTATTTCAGTAGATCTGCCTGTTCTGTTCCCCACTCTGTCTCTGGTGAATCCTCTCATCCCTCCGCACCTCTGGCCTGTACCCCAGTTCTTGTATGCATAAATCTTAAAAAAAAAAAATTTTTTAAATGTAACAAATCACAGGATGTACAAAACAGTTGGTGGGCTGTGTTGGGCCCATGAGCCATACATAGTTTGCCACACCCTGTCCAGACTGCCAAAAGGGATTCCTGCAGATGAAGAGATAAAGAATAACTGGCTACTTTACAAGTGATTTCCCCCTCAGAGCTCCTGACCTGGGTAACACTACAGCCCCCAAGCAAGGCTAGCCTTGTCTCCACCATCCAGCCTCCCTTTTCATCTAGGCTGACCACAGACCTAGGAATTGCTTCTGGGTCTGAAAGTTCTGAGAAAGAACCTGTAGACTGGATTAGCTCACTTTAGAATTATCTGTTAATGGGTAATAGATAATTATAATAATAGTGGATAATAGATAATTCAGCGCTTGTGTCCCAAAAACCATCCCAGGAGGCATCATAAATAAGGAATGATGAGTTCTGTTTTTTTTTTAAGTTTCAATTCTCTGAGACAAGCTAAGGCTAATCATGTCATTCTACTGCTTAAAAGCGTCTGTTGGTTCCCACTGTGGTGGTGACACAAGTGTCATTTAGGAGAGCCAGAGTTGATGCAGCACATGACAACCTCCACACTCTCAAATGTGGTAACCAGGACCATAGACCCAGAGGCAGCTAGATTCTTGCAGATACTAGCTGATACAGGGCAGCAAGGGACACTAAAACTGGCCACGGACACTGCCCAAATAGTTTACCAGTCACTGTCTGAGTTCTTTACCGGAGCGCACAATTGCAAGACTGCTTAGGCTCAGAAAACAACAACAAAGGAATTTATTTAGCAAACCAGGGAAAAACAAAGAGTTACTGAGGCCAATAATGGCCTTTACCTTAGCCAGAGCCATGTCCAGCATTACTCAGTCCTGTACAAAAGCAGTTAAAATGGTGTCTTTTCGCCACTGAGGACGCAGAGCTCCTCACCCAAACAATGGGCCATGTGTCCAAGAGGGCCCCTTCCTGCAAGTATGGACATGCGGCAGCCAGACTCAGGTTCCGACTCACGAAGACAACAAAAGACACAACAGGAGATGCTCCATGAGCTGCTGGGATGCCCCAGCACAAAACCCGCCAAGCATGACACTCAAAACAATAGCAGCTAAAACAATAGCAGCCAAATGACTCAACAAGTGGCCACACTCACTCATCACAGCAAAATGCCTGGCTCCAGGTCTTTGCCTTTTCCTCCAGTCCGCAGCTTTGTAAGATGCCAGGCTCCCGGGTATTCCCTTTTCCTCCAGGCCACAGCTCAATAAGACACCTGGCTCCAGGTCTCGGCCTTCTCTGCCAGGCCGCTGCTCAGTAAGACAGCTGGCTCCAGGGTCTTCCCCTTCTCCACAAG